ATGGTATCAGTTATATGGTCATCCATCCAGAGCCATTCATGAAATACCTAAAGTTCAGGTGGCGGCACCCTAGAACCTGATTCTTGAAACTGGGGAACAGCGTTCTCATGAGAACAAAATTTTCTCCCTTGGTCGCTCATGTGAGCTTTTGGATGGCAGAAGGACATGACACTTGTTTTGATAGGAAAGCTACTCCTCGTTTTGAGAATCAGGCGCCAGCAGGGAGGTTTCAGGCGTGTTCACATTCTATAAGTACCCTCAACTGCGCCTCGTGATCCTCAGGCATTATCGTGCTCCATAAGTTTCTCAACTCCAAAATTGATAGCAATTATCTATACATATAAAACACAGTTGTATTGGTTATAACACTTATAACTCGAGAACGGCTGGACTGATTTTTATGATTTTTGCTTTATTGGATTTGTCTTTGTCCCTAATAACAAAACCCAAAAAAAAAACAAAAAACAAAATTACTTATTTATGAAAAAAAATCACTAAGCCCACATACGGCGCCATCTCTTATAACCGATACCAAGTTTACCGCCACATTTACATTGCAAACCCTTTTGTATACGGCGCCATCTCTGATACCTAGAACGAAGCTCGCCGTTGCGCGGTAATTTCGTTGCAGATACAGTTGAACAATGCTGCTCAAGAACTGGAGCTATTCCGAACAGAACTATTCCACTATTTCGATCAGATAGAGTGGTGCAGATAGGAGTAGATCAGATAGAATAGTGCAGATAGAATAGAACAGATGGAGTAGTGCAGTGCATGCAGTGCAGATAGAGTGAAACAGGGCTGCGCTGGAGATTTTTTTTGTTTTCTTTACATTCTTTGAACATTCCTGTGCCTGAGTTTATTTATTTGGTGGTACACTTTACAAGAATAATGCCCACAGGGGCCTAAAAAGGGATGATGTAAAATTTTAATTTTAGGTGACTTGTGATCCAGAGAGTAAACATTAATTTTCTTCAACCAAAGCCAAATTCACCATCGAAAAAAACTGAATTTAATTCAGCTAATAGATACGTCAACACAACATTTAATAGGTATTTAATAATTCAGAGGCGGTACGAAGTTCCCGGGTCAGCTAGTAGCTACTAAATATCAACCTGTGATCTCGCTAGAGGAAAAATTCAATTGCAAAGGCCTATTTGAAAAAGCAACAATTGTCTGTATCTTAAGTACGCGGGTTCTCCCGCTGTAATATTGGGGTGTTTCAGGGTTCTATGTTCAATATATTTGATACGATGCTTAAGAATTGTTTCGATTGATAATCTGTTCTGAATTTCCAATAACTGGTTCTAGTGGGCCTTTGGTCTTCCGGTGCTGGAATAAATTATAATGACGAATGTTAACGTCGTCGGAAGATCTTCTTGAGAACAACTCTTCATCGGTTTCTTCAAGTTGCAGCTAACGACGTACATATCTGGTCTCAATCTTCTCTGGAGTCTTAGTCATAATAGTACACTAGAAAATTTCTTTTTTTACCTCTCAAAGTTGGCTTTCGAGGCTCTGCGTTGGGAAAGGTACTTCTAGGAGTCAGTTTAGCCTGGCAGCTGATAAAAGTGGCCGAAGGCGGTGCAATGGAATATCTGAATTGATCTCTGGCTTCAGACTATTAACTTGGCTTCTAAATTTGGACTACATGTGATGTAGTGCTAGAGAAAAGCATCATTCATGAAGAAGTCTTTGTTTAGGGGATTGATTAATTTGATATACAGCAACAAGGCAAAATTTAGTGATTCCTTGACACTGCAGCTAGTTAGCTTATTGACAACCCTTGCTGTGTAAGTTTCTACTAAAATAGGTTTGACATATTCGCCAGGCACAGTAGCCCCTTTATTGTCGTCTTTATGAAACCCTTCTCCTAGATGGGCTCCTCCTCCAGAAGGTGTCGAGCTCTCCAGTGAGCGAGTGCTGGGTACTTGAATAAGATGTAAGAAGCTGATTCTTCGTCCTCGTCGCACAATCAATAGATGAGTTCATCTTGGTAGATACCCATAATCTTGTGTAAGTGTTTTCTCAGTGTACAGTGACCGGTTAAGAATCCTGTCACAATTCTGATCTGATTCCTTGTGAGATTTAGGATCTCAGAGGCTAATCTTGTCGTAGGATATTTCACCATTGCCTGGTGTTTGATACCTGGTTTTTGTGTTCCTCTCGGATCCACTTTTCTAAGCAGCCACGTATCGAGGTTTTTGATATTCCGAATACGGGATACCCATAAACTGCCTTTCTGATTCTTGCCTGGCTATAAGGAGTTTATCTGTTGGCATACTAGAGCTTTAATAGCTGCTTGGCTGTTTAAAAAGATCGTGATATCCTTGTGTAGAGTACAAATCAAACGAGAAGAAGCCACACGCGTTATCGTTTGTCTAACTTTAAATGGGAGGGACCCAGAGAAAAGGAAATCTGCCTTCTTTGTCAGCGTTGACGTCAATGGCTTCTTCTCGTTTGATTTTTACTCTACATACCCACTTCTCAGTTTTCCCGCAGGCATATCTCTATTGCATGTATTTCGGCTTGGAATACGGTGGCATGCTTCGCCAGTGGAGAAAGCCATTTTGCTCTTGAGGATAAGCCATCTACTCCGGCACGGTTCCACTGTCAGTTTTGGAGCCATCAGTGTACCATACTAACTTTCCATTATGGACTAGTTTTCTGTTTTGTTTTCCCAATTAATCTGAGTTTGAAACTGTTTGTGAGTGTTTATTCTCGGGGTCATGTTGTCACTTCTCATCCCAAACAGTTAGTTTGTAACAATTTTTGTTGTCCTGGTATGTTCACATTCTCCTTGGATTCCAGTTCTGGCCACAATTGAGTCTGTAGGTCCCCATTCTTCTCTCAGCTTTGATAATGATATCAATAGTGATAGTATGGTTTCTATAGCAGTAGCGACTTTTGGCCACCAAATTATTGGTCCGTAGGGTATTCTGGGTCTTACCACTACTGTATAGATTCAGTATACTATGTGGGATAGAAATCCCCATGTCTATCCCTCTGCTCTTTTTGTGGCCATTAGCGCATTTCACCTTTGTCGGTGTCGTGGCGTATTCAATATGCGCGTTCCAGGTTAGTTTTGCACCCAGGATAATCCCTAGGTATTAGACTTCCCGGACGACTTTTATTTGTTTTCCGAAAAAGTGAGAAAGACTAGATCGTCTAGTTTTCTTCTTTTTGTGAAGGGAACCATTGCTTCTTTCTCAGGATTGACACCAGGTTTGCCCTTTTGAGCCAGTCCTTCACGATTTAAGTGCTCTTTGCATTTGCGCAGAAGTAGTTTGTACATTTTTCCCCATGACTACTGCTACTACATCATTTGAGTGACCCTGGGTATAAATATTTCTTTTTCTATTTATTAAGTTCTACTAGAAGTTGGTCTACGACCCAGGTCCCACAGTAAGGGGTTAGAACTCCACCCTGTGGGCAGCCTTTTGATACTGACATCACCATAGTATCATTATTAAAAGTAGCATGAACTTGTCAACCACGAAGCATGTTATCAATCCATCTGCTGATGGTGTGTGTGACTCCATGTCTGGACAAAGCAATGTTCGAAGATTCAAATGAGGTTCGGTAAAAGGCCTCTTCTATTTCGAAGAATTCTGCAAGGGCTACCTCCTATTTATCATTTGCGCGCTCTATTTTTGCTACCAGTGTAGGGCAGGGCCGTTCCCAAAATTTACCCACTTGATAGGCATGTTCGTTTTGTTGTAGTGGCTTTTATTTGATTATAAAAAAATTCCCTAATATGTTTATCAATGAGTTTTTCAATCGGCTTCATAAGGACAATAGTGTTTAGGGGAACAATGCCACTTGCAGCGAAACTTATAATGTTTCTGCTTATGAATTCAAGAATAAATGCTTTTCATGGGTGTTTTGTTGGATTTGAAGAAATCGAAAACTCAAGAAGTGTCAGAAGTCAAAGTAAGGAAGAAAGAGAACTTTTTTCTTATCCCAGACGCACGATCCCTTTTGATCACTTATCATGATTATCCAAGATCAATGAAACTTTCTAGGCTTTGGCTCATAAGCTCGATAAAAAAATCAAGCCAATCGAGAAATAGCAGTTTGTTGTTTGTTGAACCATCCAGAGATTGATTTGCAACTCTTTTACACCCCAAGCCCCTTCGAGGATAAATTCCTCAAAATGGGCTCATGGGAAGTCAAACATCAGAGGGAAGAAGTTACCGAATGATAGCATAAAATCTGGCTCAAAATCGTTAAAGGTGACATCCAGGTTGCTTTACACAAATGTTAATGTAGCAAGTAGTTTGATGCCTATTCTTGAATGATTGATTGATGAACCAATATTTTGAGGGCACATGGGCACTGGACCCTTGTCATCAATATTGTAGATCTGTTGTACTTCCAATGCACTATATCTCGCTAGTACCTACTATCTTCAAATTGGTTTGATGCTTGTCGAACCCCCGAGAGATGTAGGTAGCGTATGGTTTTCGCATGAAAATTTGATTTTAATACTTCTGAATGAATCTTCGAAGCCCCGCAAATATAAGACAAACGAGAAGTCAAAAAACAATATTACATATACCAATTCCCGTAGGCGATAGTGTAGGATTTTCTTCTATTACATAATATTATTCAGGATAATATTGTGATGGCCAAGAGAATGTATATAAGGAAAAACGAAAGTGTTAATCAAGTGGGTTGGAATGTTAAAATAATTGCTAAGCTAATATTTCCTCATGCAAATTTTAACTTTGAAGATTTACGATTATTGGACGAACAAATCATTGAATAACAAAGTCAAGTGAAAAAGGCCTTAACTTTATCAGAATATGAAAAAAAAGGAATTTTAATTTACGATCAATCATACCAAGTAAGCAAATTAACTTATAAATCTATCCAATATCCCACAGGATTTTTCCTGAAAGATTTTACAGCTGTTACCTCTACTATCAACACTGAAGCAACAAGCTGCGATTACCAATTAAGTATTTTCATTATTCAAGCAATAATTATCATTACAGGTACTACAATGTCATCGGACCACGGATACTACGTCCAAACAGCGAGTACCACGCATCGATAAGCGTGCACGGAACCTCGGGACCGACCTCAATCACGGCCACATTAGAAGGACAATCTTTTACTGGAACCCCATTTTTGATGCAATTTAAGGACGTGGTACTACCTTATTCGAATGTTATAAGTCGATTCGAGGTGAGAATAATTTACACAAATTTCTATCTTATTGATATCTTTTAAGACGTAGTGTTTTCATTAATTAAAGATAATATCATATGCAGTCAATGGGTTTTTCGAATTATTTTTTCAGATTGGAGACATCGAAGATGGAAACTACAAGCTACGAGTAACTGGCAACAGAGGCCTGGAATTTTCGGCTGAATTTCCTTTGGAATATGTCAAAAAAAGTTACTCGGTATATATACAAACCGATAGAGCTGTTTATCAACCGGGTTCAACTTTGATGTTCAGAGCTATCGTCCTAAATCCCGCACTGAAACCTGCTGCTGAGGTCCGCAATGAACCTTTACACATTCATATCGAGGTATAGATTTATAAAAATCCGGATAAGTCTATTCTTTTTTGAGTAATTGTTGCATAAACATAGCCATGTCACGTTTTATTCTTAGGATGGTAAAGGAAACAGAGTGAAAGAATGGAAAAACGTCGAAGCAACCAAAGGAGTATTTTCTGGCGATTTAAAACTTAGCGACAATCCTGTTTTGGGAAATTGGAACATTTCCGTTACAATCCACGGACAAAGTTACGCGAAATCGATTCAAGTTGCTGAATATATTTTGCCCAAGTTTGTTGTTGAAGTTAAAGTGCCTCAACATGTAACTTTTAGGGAGAAAACTTTGCCTGTAGCCATTGATACCAGGTATGTATGTATTTGGAATTTATTGGAACATAATTGAAACATTTTGAAAATCAATGAGTTTTAAGATAAACAGTTCGTTTGGGTTTTTGAGTAAAGACATGTTTGACTTTCTTCATCTTTCGTAGGTACAATTATGGTAAAAAAGTAGTAGGTGAAGCTACAATAACAGCCTACCCGACAATTTACTCGGGAGTAATCCAACCAATCTATCAAAACCCCATAAGAAAAGTGGTAAAAATCGACGGTTCGACTTTGGTCGAATTTGATATTGAGAAAGATTTACGATTAAACGACGAATACGAACGACTAGTTATTGTAGATGTTACTATCGAAGAGTTCTTGACTGGACGGAGACAAAACAACAGTGCAGAAGTTTATGTGCATAAATATAAGTACAAAATGGATTTGATTAAAACTGCGGATTATTTCAAGCCTGGATTAACATATGTTGCTTATGTAAGTATCCATATGTAGGTTTGTTACAATAAGATAATTTGTAAAAAGTTTTCTAAACTGCGGCAAATGGAGCAAACTTTTCCAATTATAAGTATTGTCTTATATCACTCATATAGCATTATATGGGTTTGAAACAAAACCGAATTTTGTCTACTCAAATTTTACACATAGTTTGTTTTAGGTAAAAGTAGCAAACCACGATGGTACCCCATTAAGAGACGAAGAAAGAGACGTAACCATCAAACACGGTTATTCAAGACAAGACGAAATTTACGAAGAAAAAACTCATCGGTTAGACAAAAATGGCATATTTATACTCGAATATAACACTCCCACGGATGTAACCAATACCACAGCTTTAAGAATCGAAGTAAGTAAATAATTTAAGTATTTAATCTAGGATCTACAATAACTCCTCTCATAGGCGGAATACAAAGACCTCAAAGAACGCATTTCACCAATCCCGGCTGCAGTTTCCTATGGCAATACATTTTTACAAGTCAGTCTAGAAACTGAAAAACCCATAGTCAATTTGGATGTTGACGTTTTGGTAAATTGCACTGAACCAATGAGATACATCAATTATGTTTTAATGGCTAGAGGTAAGAAAAAGTCAAAATATCTTTGAAGATTCTTGAGACGCAATACTTTGATTCCAGGTGACGTGTTGCAAACCAACTCCTTCCAAATTGACCAAAAGAACATTTTCCGTTTTCGTTTTACTGCCGTCCACGCAATGGTACCCATTTCTCATTTATTTGTCTACTATATCAAAGACAACGGTGAACTTATTGGTGACGTTGTAGATGTAGAAGTTGATGTACTTTTTGACAATTTTGTAAGTAGAACAGAAAAAAAATGTATACTACTATGTACCTCATTTGCCGCGAAAATGTAAATTAAATCAGAAATAACCCAAACTTTCTGTTCAAATTAGAGTTATTTTCACTGGTAAAAACAATTTTCTGGAACGCAGCTTTTGTTGAAAAGCCTTTGATGTGATATAATGGTATCAAGTATCCGTATATTCTTTTTGCTGTTTTCACATGAATGGTTTCTTGAATCTAGATAAGCTTGCTAGCACAGAATTTTTATACAACTCCAAGTAGATTTATTATCTTTGGTGTGTGAAGCTGCCACTTACTCTGCTGCGTTTAAAGACAGACAAACGCGCTACTGTTTGAGCTATATCAAAAAAATTCCCCAAAAAAAGACATCCTGATAATCTCTGTGAGTAACTCCGTTTCTGCCCAATTTGCGTCTGAATGACCACTCGAGAAGATAATTATAATAATAAATTTCTCAGAAAATCTCACGAATAGGCTATATTTAAATCCAACTGGCCTAGCTTATTGTTCAAAAACTATTCAAAGCCGTGGATATCACTCTGACAGTTGATAACTTGGGTGTATATAAATTATTATCCTTCTTGAAATCTTTGGGCCTTGGTTTTTTGATGACGCGCGACGTTTCCATTGGTTTTGAATACTCACTTCATATCAATAGCCCTCAAGAAATAATTTACATATCATCCAGCTTCTTACGACTTACAATGGATACATCTCTGAAGTTTGGCTGCCTCTCTTTTGTTGTTATCATGGAGGCTGTTCTGATAAACTAGCGGCTACAATTCCACCTCTTTCTCTCACTGAACTCGTCGTTGCGAGCCATAACACCATAGGGCTCCAATCTATACAAATTTTTCACTCGTGTATCAAACCTGTGGAACTCATTGCCGAGCAAAACCTTTTCTCTTTCTTCCTGGCTTAAAAAAAAAAACATTGAAAGTTAATTTCCGCTCCCTTCGTTTAGCCTTAATATTCCTTTCACATGCATGACTCAAAATTATGATGCTAATGATCCAATTTTGTCTGTAGTGTATAATATAAATACTTATTATTCTAGATTAACATTGACCTGAGTACTGACGAAACCGAACCAGATCTGGACATAGAACTGACGGTTAGAGCACGTCAAAATTCCTACATTGGCCTAATGGCAGTGGACGAAAATGTCTTAAAATTACGCCCAGGCTATGACGTCACTCTGCAAGAGATATCTGAAGATTTGCAAAAGTATGACGTGGCCGAAACGTCGCCTTACAGTTTGATTTCCAGAAATTTAAAGAATCATTTTATGTGGAAACCGGGTGGCAGTAATCCACACTCAGCCGTTTATGTAAGGATTTTTTGGGCCTAAATTGTATCGTTACTTATTTTTTGGGATTTCAGGAAGCTGGGGCCGATCTTATGACAAATGCGCATATTAACAGACGAAAACCCACATGTAAGGCTCGGTTATTTTTAAACTATACAGAAATTATAGAAATTTGTTTCAGTGGAAGATATTTACTTACGTCCCACTTTTTATGGATCATCTACAATTAAACCAGATCGTGGTTTTGGTGTACCATTACCAACAGTTACAAGACCGCCATTAGCAGGCCCCTATGCTTTCAGTAGAATACCAAAACCTGTTTGGAATAAACCGAAAGTGTACCTTACAGAACATGTAGCCGACACTTGGTTATTTTCCAACTTTTCTTCAGGTTATGAAGGAAAAACCTCGATAAGACGAAAAGTCCCTAGCAGTTTGAATAATTGGCTAGTGAGCGGATTTTCTCTGGATCCCATAAGAGGTTTGGCGTTGATGACTGAGCCTAAGAGGCTTAAAGTTACCAAATCGTTTGTGGTTTCTTTGGATTTGCCTTATTCCGTGCAAAAAGGGGAAATTCTGGCTGTTCCTGTGGTTGTGTATAACTATATGGCTCAAGATATTGTTGCTGAAGTAACGTTACACAATACAGAGCAAAGTTTTGAATTTGCTGAAGTTTCAAACGACGTTAATTCGACTAAAAGTAAGAATTTTATATATTTAATCAATTCAAATTACTGATGAGGACCAACTCTAGCCTAGAATCTATTGTTTCATTACAGAAGTTGAACTATATCGCAGAAAAAAAATACCACTACCGAAAAACTCGGGAGCCTCAATATCTTTTATGATCACTCCACTGAAAGCAGGTTTTTTGGATATAAAAGTAACTGCAAACAGTCCTAGAAATCAAGATATTGTAACAAAACAACTCAAAGTAGAGGTACCTACCTAAAAAAAATACCTACATTATAAATTCCCCATCAGAAATACATCTAATATCAAATTCTTTTTAGCTTGGAGGTGAAACTGAATACTACACAAAATCAGTCCTAATAGACATGAGACAATCAACCAACTTCAAAAAAACACTTAATTTCACCATTCCAAAGAATGCCATAGAAGGTTCCACCAAAATCGAAGTATCCACAGTCGGTAACCTTTTAGGTGTCTCCATGATTCATTTGGAAAATTTAATAAGGCTGCCATCTGGCTGTGGCGAACAAAACTTTGTACGTTTCATGCCCAATTTAGTAATACTTGAGTACTTGAAAAGTACCCGTCAGCTCACTCCTACAATTCAAAATGAAGCCATAGGCTTTTTGGAGACTAGCTATCAAGAGGAGCTACAATATAAGCGAGCAGATGGATCGTTTAGTCCTTTTGGTGACCGAGATTCAACAAGTAGTGTTTGGTGAGTCAAAATTATTAGAATAATAATTAACTTATTTTTCAAAACATTCATTTAGGTTAACAGCCTATGTAGCTTTAGCCTTCAAACAAGCCAAACAATTCATTTACGTAGATGATTCTATAGTAGATCAAGCTCTTGAATGGCTTTCAACTCATCAAGGTGTGAATGGAAGTTTTGTGGAAACTGGCACAGTAATTTATGATGAGCTACAAAACAAAAATCGCAATAGTTTAGCTCTTACTGCATTCACTTTATTGGCTTTTATAGAGAATCAGGTATACCAATAATTGTGGATGTGTATTTCATATTAATTTTCCCTTTTTGTAGAGGACATATACAGCAAACTACACAAACGTCATCTACAAAGGCCTGGACTACATAACAAGAAACATGGACGAAAGTGAATCGACATATTCAATAGCCATTTGTAGTTACGTGTTGTATTTGGCTAAACATACCTCAAGGCAAAGTGTCTTTAATTTGCTCGATTCTAGAGCAAAAGTGCAAGGAGACATCAAATGGTGGGCCAAAGACTTTCCCAAAAATGAATCCTCCAATCCGTGGCGAAATAGACCTAGATCTGTTGATATTGAAATGACTTCGTATGCTCTATTGACATTCTTAGAGGCTAATCTAATGGAAGATGCTGTGCCCGTTTTAAATTGGCTAATAAACCAACAAAGTAGTTTTGGAGGATTTACCTCATCCAGAGATACTGTGGTAGGGCTGCAAGCTTTATACAAAATGGTCATGAGATTATCATCACCCGTGAACCTACAAATCGAATTTGCATATAATAAGGGCAAAACTGGCAAGTTTAGTGTAAATCAAAACACTGCAATGATTTTACAGTCCACAGAAATCGACAAAGATTCAAGGGAAGTTAATGTTACCGCTCAAGGCAATGGGATAGGATTATTTCGGGTGTCGTATCAGTATAATACAAATGTCACGGGTCCATGGCCTTTGTTCACTTTGGATCCGCAAGTCGATAAAAATTCAAATGTGGATCATTTGCAACTGTCAATTTGTACAGCGTAAGTGAAAACATTCTAGAAAATAGTTTTTGTTTAAAACATGGTGCGCTTACGTGCTTATTCTTTTTTAGATTTGCTAGTCGTAATTTATCCTCAACTCCACTAAGTAACATGGCAGTAATGGAAGTGAGCTTACCTTCAGGATTTACAGCTGACAGAGACTCTCTGCCCAGCTTGGAAGTGTCTCAAAACGTTCAAAAAGTTGAAACCAGCCATGGGGACACCCGAGTCATACTATACTTTAATAATTTGACCGTTACTGAATATTGTCCCACAGTGTCAGCATTCAGAACACATAAAGTTGCCAAACAGAAGCGAGTTCCTGTGGTAGTTTATGACTATTATGATACCTGTGAGATTTTTTACTCTAGTTGATAAAATTCGATTTTATTTTTGATGTATTTTCAGCAAGAAGAGCCAGACAGTTTTATTGGGGCCCTAGGGCGACTATTTGTGATATCTGCGAAGGTGAAGACTGTGGTGATATTTGCGAGGCGGCTTTTAGGGCTCGGCAAAGTTCAAGTGGAGCTGACGATAGCGATTCGAGTGGAAATACTCGAATAACAAGCATTGTATTGTTGAGTTTTATTCCGCTATTATTGAGCATCATGTTCAGGTAGTTTAGAAGGGTACTTTTGAAACAAAGGTCCAAGAACATTGCACACTAATTTATCAAAATTAATATATGTCGACTAATTTTTACTAGTGCCATGTGATACAATCATGTAGTTTTTGAATTTATTTCTGATCATGTACATACTTTATTAATTATTAGGTATAATTAGGTATAATTTTAACAAATACTGTGATTTTTTTAATAACTTTTATTGCCTAGAAATAGAAATTTTAATGTATTGTTGATTGTTACTAAACTAGTCTAATTGAACAATTAAATTTAATTTTAATACAAAATGAATTTAATTATTTAGTTTACAAGTTAGCGGATAAAAGCCCTTCAGAATATGGATAGCGTTTAAGCAAAGTAGATTGATGCATCACAATTTCATGATGGGACCACGGCCGGCATTCTCGTCCTCGAAAACGCTCACCGCTTTTTAGTCGCGAGAACCAGAATACTGGCCCAGAATGACGACCTCCTCAAGAAATGAGGTGTTTTTCTAATTTCAAAATGCAGCTTAAAATCTGTGCAACGAAACTGAATCAAATCAAATCAAATAGGCTTTATTGTCAGAAAATTGCAAATACATTTCATTGACAAAGCCAAATCCTTAAAACACTAAGAACAAAGAACAAGTAAATAAGTAGGTATATAACATTGAGAAAACAAAAGCCTTAAAACCTAAAGACAAAAATAGAAACGGTGGCAAAGAGTATAAAAATAGGATGACTAAATATTAGTGAATTTTTGTATTATTTTTTTTCATGATCATTCTTTTTCGTCATACTGTACTGGTAATGTATCACAACATGATCAGAATTGGAATAATAGGGTTCTTGCATCAATTTTTTTATCGCTGATTTCGTAAGTCGATAAAAAATAAGTCAACACGTGTTTTTTCTTTTTCTTCTTAGTCAAAAATTGACGGAGATACAACGCTATGAAATATGCCTGTGACGTCACTTATCATGTAGATTATTGACGTCGCACATGCTCAGTATATCTATATATACAAAACTTAATATTTGTATAACTTCCGGAATAATCATATTTGGGCGAAATAAAAAAAAAGTAACGATTTTTTTTCGATTTCCTACAGTTTGCAATAAACAATAATCAATTTAATTTTTCATGCAAGTACCCTATTATATGTATGTATAGATAGCGGCCACCAAACATACATACCTCAAGCAGGATGATTATTTACAAATTCCCTAGAAACTACAACAAAGTGATTTATTGTTAGATTGGAAGTGGTCATCAGTATAGTATGACTGAAATATTATTCGAAGAGTTCTTATAAACGTGTCGTATCATTATTACCATCTTGGAAGGTCTAGGTAGGGACGAATAAATTAGAAGACACAACTCGATGCTAGGGAAAGACTCTATTGATTTTGACACACCTGCTACCTGAAATGCTGGTTTTCTGTCTACCTGGCTATCCACGAACCAGTTGCCAGAAAACCTCACCTTAACTATTAAAAACCCTCCAGGTGAATGTCAATCCTAAAAGACTAAAATATAAAGCAGATGCCTAACAGCACAACTCCCTTCTATACTACAAACTATTACTAAGCTCTATCATACTATGAACCAAATCTTTAAGGTATGCAGGTTGTTTAACAAATCTTTTTGGTCTGATGGGGACGCATTCCCTGTGACACTCGCGTTTTCATTATCTCGCGTTTCACTATTTCTGCACGATAAATTACCATCACCCTGCCACAAACTTGGAATATCCGGGGGTACACTAGGGGGAATAACATCATTATTGATATAAGCATGGTTCTCTCAAGGGATGCCTGATTTAGGAAAATAATATGGAGCGTTAATCAAATGCCACCTATTTCGTCTATATTTACCAACATGAGGTTCAATAACGTATGACCTTGGTTCTGGACCAATTTCCACGACTTTCCCATATTGTCTGACATCAACCACCCATACAGAATCTCCAATAATAAAAGGCTCCAAATCCTTAGCTTTATGTCTCTTGTAATTTCTTTCTTGTTTCTCTTTTATTTTCCCCTCTTTTTCCAAAAATCGTGATTTCGTGTCTAATGACTTCTCTAGCAAGCTTGGCAACTGAGGCAAAGGACCCCGCACACTTCTTATGGGATTTTGGTTGAACGCGGAATTCAATCAAATTTTGGTATGTTGTATATTTCGACCTCCTGAGTAAAAGTTCTCATGGGTACAAACCGAACCTATGAGTAGTTTCGGATATACAGGGGGTTTTCTAATACTACCTTAGGCAACCTAAGTACCTATATAAAGTGTACAGGGTGTTTGTTTATAACTGGAATACTCAATAACTTTTTTATTATTGAGAATAAAGGGCATATTCAAATTGGAAAATTTCTTGATAAATTGCAACGATCTTAATCGCTAAAACGAGATTTTTTTGTTGCCATAGGTATACAGGGTGCGCCAAAAAAAGTCATTTTTTTAAATGGAACGCCCTGTATATTTTCGCATTTTTGAAATTCTTAGAAAATTAGCTTCACAAACATATCAAATATTATTTGGATAACAAAAATATACAGGGCATTCCATTTTTAAAAAAATACCTTTCTGACGCACCCTGTAAACCTATGACGACAAAAAATATTGTTGCAGCGCTTAAGGTTGCAATTTACCAAGAAATTTTCCGAATTAAACGTGCCCTTTATTTTCAATAATATGAGAAAGTAACCGAGTGTTCCAGTTATAAACAAACACCTAGTACATAGAGCAAAAAAACTTACATGTATTGCTTTAAAAGTTGTTTATTTCATCTTTCCTTAACTAAAAATGTTTAGTAGGTGTTCGTAATTCTTCCTTTATATACCAGGGACGCTCAAAAACTATGGCTATTTTTAAGCTAAATGAGTTAATGACCACAAATGATCAAGTGTGAAAAATTGTGTACTCGTAGGTACTCAGGTACTTACGTTTTGTGATAAAAGTGACTTTCTATCTCAATGAATTCCACTTCTCGCTACGCTAGTGCTAAAAGCTTTTTGCGTCATGACCCCTTGACCTAGGGTTTAAGTGTTTAGATATTAGGTATGCATACACTTGGTGATTTGTTTGAAAAATCTAAACAGCCATGGAAAGAAAAGCAATGAAAATTGTTTTTTCATATGTCATATCTCACTTGGTAACCATGGAAACCAAAACAGTGACCTTGTCAATAAAGCGAATTGTCTTTTTTGTCACCTTTCTTGTGAAAATGGCAGTTCGGGAAAGGTATCTAATGTGTTACATGTGCAATGAAGGACTAGAGTAAGAGTAAATCGCACTGTTTTATTACTGAAAGATGCAAGATGCCGAAGTCCGCAAATTGGCTGTAAAGCGTCGAAACGAGTTAGGATTTGAGGATGACTATTTCACTAGAGTGTTTTACACTGGCAAAATGTCATAGGAACGGCCGGTTTCCTACTGACAAAACTCCTACCTGTTCCTACCTGGACAAAACCAACATGATGGTTTTTCAGCGACAAAATTTTGTGTGGTTAATGTCACAGAACTTTGACTTGTTTCTCTCGTGAAATAGTCCAGCCGAATACCACCCAAGAAAAAAATTATGTAGGCAAAATTATTTTCTTGGTTTTATTCAAGTTTGCTGCTTTTTGGTAATTTCGCTCATGAAATTGCCAAGCAACAAACTTTCATACCAGTCGAAAATTTTGCCAACAAAATTTTTTCTCTTGTGGTATTAGTTAGGGAGACGACCGCATTTTTCCTACCCCGATCGAGTTATGTGTCGACACTATTATCAATATATAGTATTGTTGCGGAAATAACCCACAACAAGTTTAAAATGTTATTATTTGTAGTTTATCAATATAATCTCAATTTCTATTATTTATCATAAAAATAATATTCTAAAAAAAGGATACCTGTAAAACTGGCAACAGCAGCCCTTTTGAATCGGTAAAATTACAGATTTCTTCATTACCCTATGAGCAATGGATCTATTTTGTTGTTGTGATTGGTCAGTTGCCACCCAACATCCCTGATTTATGCGACCTGCTCCGAAAAAGGCAGTCGACTCGACGCACGGTACACAACAGTAGTAATCAAGAAGCAGAAGAGTAAGCAAAGACTCTGCACCCTCTCGCCTCTGAACGCTCTACAGAGGAAAAAACCCCCAGAAAACCCCCGTTAGTACGCGAATTATAGTAAAATACTACCCCCAGTGACTCAAGGCCTGACATGGTCTATATTATCAACGATATTTTTGATTACAATTCATGTAATTAACCCCTAAATTGTTGCAAGTCATCTCGGACCTAGCAAAATTCTCTACTACGCCTGTTTAAGGTTATTCCTGTCTCACTCTCGACGGGCTTCAACTCTGTATATCATTGTGTTCTCTCTCTTAGTGGAAAATCCCTTAGCTGACAGTGCAAATTACTACGAATAGTGATAAATGGATAAATAATCACTATATGGATTTACCGGTATGAACTGGATTAAGCAAGTAAGACCGTTTCAATTTCTCAAAACAGTCGAACAATAAATTAATAAATACTGAATACGGATTCGGTTGAAATGCACTATAAATTGAAGTGTTTGTTCTAACCTTTAATACAGAAATTTGGTTTTCACACTCGTGAAATGAACATTAATTTGTAAATTTGTATATAGAAACTGAGCATATATATATAGACTTTTCTTGCACTTATTGTTTACACACTTCAGCAGAAAAGTGCTCAAATTATTAACTCTCAATAAACAAAAGAACTTTCAAGGATTATAAACATTTTGTGAATACAGTGAGCTGATTGAAGTTCACGAATTATTTGTGTTGTGCTCTCGTAAATCTAATTAGTTAATTTGTGTTCTCGTTCATTGAACATTTAACCATAATTGATATTATTATTATGAAATTTCACTATTTTTATAAATCAAGATACTTATTTACTCGCTTATTTACTTTAGATTAGTATAAAATTTGTAGTTCGACTGGACGTCCAAATAGGAATTATTAGATAGGATTTGATTGCTGATTAAACCGAATTAACTTCATTTATTAATTAAATTGATAACTATTCTATTTCAGCGTTTTATTTGTATAAATGAGAATCAAGGCACCCCTAGTTCAATACAAGGCTTAAATGATCCAACACCTAATGGTTAATTTTTACAGTCAGTCAAAGTAAAAACTTTTGACATCCCTGGTGCGGTAATGACTAGAGTCCACAAAAGGGTAATAGCTAGTTCCGTCACATTGGTCCTTCGAGCCGGATTAAAGCCTTGATTGAAATGTAATTAATTAAAAAATTTAATGTTTTTTTTAT